TACCCGAGAAGTTTTGCCAGAAACTGGTGTAGTAATAAAATATTTACCCGAGAAGTTTTGCCAGAAACTGGTGTAGTAACAAAATAGTAACCTGAGATGTTCTGCCAGAACTACTGCAGTAACAAAGAAGCGATATGAGAAGAAGTGCAGGAAACTACTAAAACAAAAAGATGTTGGAATTTGGCAAGAATAAACGCTATGGGAGGAAACATTTCGTTAAAAATGTGTGTAATAAAAATGGTAAGAAAGACGAGAAAAATTCTGCAGTCTCGCCAAACTGAAGCTTACGGCAGTAAATAACTGTTAGTTTACTGAGGTTAATAGTTTTCTGATACTGAGATTAATGGTTACAAGTTTGAGCTAGAGCTCGTCAAAGTTATTTAACATTAATCTCGGTTATTAAGATTAATGGTTACAAGCTTGAGCTAGAGCTCGTCAAAGTTATTTAACATTAATCTCGGCTACTGAGAGTAATGGTTACAAGCTAAAGCTAGAGCTGGTCAAAGTTATTTAACATTAATCTCGGTTATTAAGATTAATGGTTACAAGCTTGAGCTAGAGCTCGTCAAAGTTATTTAACATTAATCCCGGCTACTGAGATTAATGGTTACAAGTTTGAGCTAGAGCTAGTCAAAGTTATTTAACATTAATCCCGGCTACTGAGAGTAATGGTTACAAGCTAAAGCTAGAGCTGGTCAAAGTTATTTAACATTAATCTCGGTTATTAAGATTAATGGTTACAAGCTTGAGCTAGAGCTCGTCAAAGTTATAATATATCGTATTACCGTTATCGGTCCAAGTTGTCAACTTATTGTCATATTTATATATATATATATATCGTATTACCGTTATCGGTCCAAGTTGTCAACTTATTGTCATATTTATATATAATTTTCCAATACTACTTATACTTGTTTGAAAGAGCTTAAAATCAGGCAAGGAACCAAGAAAAACGATCTATTTTGGCTTGTTAGAATCAAAAACTATAAATCAATACAGGCTGATCAAAGTTATCTTAGTACTTTAATTTTTATTTCCGTATATTATTACTGTTAATTCAGTACAACTTGATATTATTCTCCATATTTTGACGTATTTGGTCGTACGTTGGTTATTCAAACTTAATATTGTTGCATTTGGACATTCTCCTATCTATTCAAACTGAGCTCCCGGACGAGCGCCGTCTAGCGAGCTCAGTCAGAGTACAGATCTCATTTCCTGTTGTTCGGTGTAGTGTTAGATCGCACAGCAGACCGAACTTCGTCTTGATAAGCCAGGGTTACGGTAAGTCTACAGAATACTGGCTGGTGGTGATGGAAGCAAGTCTTGCTGCTCAACATAGCTACGGTTGATCGAGGTCTGGAACCTTGTTGTTGTAGGTGGAACATGACTGCATGCTACCTTTACGATCAATCCGAGAAGTTGCCGATTACGGTACCAACGTCACACTTGCTACAGCAGTAAGAGCTTTGTTGCTTTCGTGTCATGTGCTGGCGCATTACGTCTGAACCGAGGCAACTGTTGTTACTGTGACTTCGACATAAAGGTAAGCTCAGTCCGAACTCAGAATGACCTGGAGGTTCTCGGTGACCCCTAGCCGAGCCCATTGGTTTCTACGTCTTGGACTCTGTTTCGTGTTACAAGTTGTCGTTGCTCAGCCTTTGCAGCTGCAAATCGGCGGGTTCTTTCCAGTAAGCAAAGAGGTTCCTGAGGGAGAAATTGGGCAAGGGGTCATCCCAGCAGTGACTTTGGCCTTAGAGCACATCAACAGCTCACCACACATCCTCCCAGACTACCAACTGACCATTCAGTGGAATGACACCAAGGTAGGAGTATACTATTTCACTTGGATGAATTTTGTACAATCTACCCTTTGTAATCATTATTTACTTTGTGGTCTATGCTGGCACCAGGAGTGTAATGTTTGTGTTGTATTGTTAACAATCTCGAGTTTACCATAAACGGTTTACTTTGCTGTAAGTAGTTCGAAACATTTTTTATTGATTACAAAACTGTACTTTCTAATATCTTAACAAAAAGCTCCAAGACCAACTGTGGTTTATCAAAGTTCTTTCTTCAACAGATATTAAAAGTGGTTATAGTAGATAAGTTGGTATATAATGTAGAATACACTGGTTTTGTCCTGCTAAAGAAATTGATATTGTGTTGCGATTCTTATGTAACAGGTTATAACACAGCTAATTTGGTTTCCTTGAGAACACGAAATGTATGTTTACTGAAGTGTCACAACAGGTAGTACCCAAACATTAGCTGGTGTATGGCAAACACAAAGAGTAGTGAAAGGCATTCTGTTATAATTACTACAACACATCAATACTATGATGTAGTTTTAACCTACTACAGTATGTAATGTAGTAACGATTACTGTCTTATAGTTACTACGACACACCGTTACTATGATGTAGTTTTAACTTACTACAGTATGTAATATAGTAGCGATTACTGTGTTATAGTTACTACAACACACCGATACTATGATGTAGTTTTAACTTACTACAGTATGTAATGTAGTAACGATTACTGTGTTATGGTTACTACGATACACCGATACTATGATGTAGTTTTAACTTACTACAGTATGTAATGTAGTAGCGATTACTGCGTTATAGTTACTACGATACACCGATACTATGATGTAGTTTTAACTTACTACAGTATGTAATGTAGTAACGATTACTGTATTTCTTTGTTGAACAGTCGCGAGGTCAATCTGTGCTACATATTCCTAATTTTGAAGTGATAAACTAGAAAGAAGGCACCTAGTCAACATAACATACCGCCAACTATTGGAATAGTGGAATTGATGGTAACATTATAACAGACTCCCAGCCGCGACTGAAAGGACGAGCATGTTTGGCGACAGGTTTCGATCCCACAACTCAGGCTATATCAAATCGCAGTTATTGCATTATACAGCTGTACACTACACTAATATTCTAATATTTTGCTTAATGTTACAACCATACTACACTTAGTCGTTACAATGACTTGCTTCAATAAAGAAGTGCGTAAATTCGTTAGCGTGTAAAGATTTTTACGGGACAGCGATTTGTTCTACAGCTGTTACGTGCTTATAGTTTATCCTATAAGAGTACGGTTTCCGCTTATGTGATCTCTGTAAAATGTTTGGTTTCTGCTTATGTGATCTTTATAAAAAGTTCAGTTTCCGCTTATGTGAACTCTGTAAAATAGTTTGGTTTCTGCTAACGTGATCTCTGTAAACTAGTTTGGTTTCTGCTAACGTGATCTTTGTATAAAAGGTTTGGTTTCCGTTTATGTGATCTCTGTAAAAAGGTTTGGTTTCTGCTTATGTGGGCCTGCATGGCCAGGTGGTTAGGGCGCTTCACTCGCAATTTGAGGGTCGCGGGTTTGAACCCCCGTCACAACAAACATGCTCACCCTTTCAGCCGTGGGGGTATTATAATGTGACGGTCAATCTCACTATTCGTTGGTAAAAGAGTAGCTCAAGAGTTGGTATTGGGTGGTGATGACTAGCTGCCTTCCCGCTAGTCTTTCACTGCTAAATTAGGGACGGTTAGCACAGATAGCCCTTGTGTAGCTTTGCGCAAAATTCAAAACAAAACAAAAAAAAACAATCTGCTTATGATCTCTGTAAACAGTTTTGTTTCTACTTATATTGATCTTATGTATCACAGTTATTTGGTTGCTGCTCATATTTGTTTTATGTAATGAATTTTGATCACTGTTTATATTAATTCTTCTGTAATAAAGGTTGATCTTTGCCTTTTTTTTATATACAAATATGTTTGGTTACTGCTTACATTGGACTTACGTATTAAAGTAAGTTTGTCATTATTTCCTGTAACTAAATTCATTTTCTGTTTATCGTGAACTTCTTTAACAAAGCCTAGTTTCTGTTTATATGTATGTTTATTTATATTTCATATTAACGTTTGATTTCTGTTTATATATATATATATATTGGTATTTCATGTCAACTTTTAGTTTCTGTTTGTTGTGGTTTTCTGTTACAAAGTTTAACTGCTGTTTATCGTGTTCTTTTGTAATCATGTTTGCTTCTGCTTATATCTGATCTTCTTATTAGAGTTTGCTTTCTGCTTATTTTTTATGTGTCACGATTTTTTTATAATATAGTTTGGTTTATGTTTCTACTGATAATCTGTTTTATAGTTTTAACCTGCTGAAGCAAATACTTCGATTGCTGGCCGTTAAGCCGAGGAAGTGTTTAGATATGCAGACAGTGATGTTTCTCTCCTGGTGCACAGAAGGTAGTCAGTGCCATAACACCACAACTTAATCCCAGCTAGTTTATTTAAAATGTCATTGCTTCGGGGTGTACACCAAGCAAAACATTGTCCAGCAGTCTTGTGGGTGGGGGTGGGTATGTAGAATTAGCATATCTCAAGCTTTTTAAAGCACCAACTTTCATGGAGAACACGCTGGAAAGACTTTCATATGAACCACTTCATATGTGTTCAGGATTGATGTAGTAAAGTAACAGTCAATACGAACGCTCTTCAAATTTGGTACCATCTTAACATTTTTAAAATGGGATTTTCGACTTTCAGTGCAGTACTTCCAAAATTCTGAAGATGTTTTGAATGTGGTTCTGCTTGTGTATTTTTGAAATGTGTTAATATTTAATTTTTTTACAATGTGGTAATAGGAGAACATTTTTTTAAATGCATGTAGTTCCATGTGACGTTTTCCCTTTAAATGTGGTACCAACTGATCGTTTTACAGAGTGGTACTACTTAGACGTTTTTCAATGTTGTACAACCTGGTTGTTTTTCAGTGTGATACAACCTTATCATTTTTAAATGCGGTACTGACTGAACGTTTTTCAGTTACTACTTGAAAATTTTTCAGTGTGGTACTGTCTGATCGTTTTATAGTTTGGTACTACCTGATCGTTTTTAAATATGGTACTACTTGAACGTTTTTCTATATAACACAACTTGCACGTTTTTCAGTGTTGTTATGTCTGATCGTTTGTCAGTGTGATGCTACCTGATCATTTTTAAATATGGCACTACTTGTAGATTTTTTAGTATATTACTGTCTGATCGTTTTTCAGTGTGATACTATTTGATCATTTTTAAGTATGACACTAATTGAACGTTTTTCAGTGTAGTACTATTTGAACGTCTTTCTCTCTGATGATACTTGAAAGTTTATGCATGTGGTACTAATTGAACGTTCTTCAGTGTATTACTATAGAACGCCTTCCTCTCTGATTCTACTTGAACGTTTTTGTATGTGGTACTTACTACTTGTACGTTTTAAAATGTGGTACTTACTACTTGTACGTTTTTAAATGTGGTACTATTTGTATATTGTATAGTACTGCCTGATAGTGTTTCAGTGTGGTACTACTTGATCATTTTTAAATGTGGTACTAACTGAACGTTTTTCGTTGTGGTACCACCTAGACATTTGTAAGTGAATAGTACCTGAACTTGTTTATGTAGTACTGTCAAGCTGCTGCCGTTGAATGTACTTACACATATAAAAGTTGCAACTGTTTTATATATTGATTTCCATTTTCTATCAAGCAGTCTACACTCTTCACTAAAAATTTAAGTAATTCATGATGTTTTCACACACTTCTACAATAATCATATATTCTTCAGATGCACCTCTCCATATTTATATTGACTTAATACCTCTGCATGGAATGCTGGGAGAACCAAGCTACATGTGTAAGGAGTTGTTAGATGAGTGTACATTATACATTACTATCTTCAACATATCGTGGTATACGTGTCTTTCTTAGCGTGGATGGTGGTTCGTAGAGTCCTACTGAATAGCTGACTTCCTTCTGGTCAGTAGTACAAAATTCCTCAAAAATACATTCATTTTCAAGCAAACTATGTTGTTTATATTGAAACAAAGTCATATTGAGAAAGACAATCACGAGCCTTTCTCGAGGGTAACTTAGCGTTCCGGATTGTGAACTTGAGAGTGCATTGTTCGCAACCCGTTGAAGCAAAATTTGCACCCTGTACTTTGAGACCGTGAGTGCGCTATAAGGGTGACTATCAAATCCCACTATTTGAGGTAGGTTATGTTGACTAGCTGCCTTCCTTCTACCTTATAAGATCAAACTTAACAGCAGTTAGCGCAGGTAGCCCTTGTGTTGTTTTGCGCGAAGACATACAACGCGATTTTGAATCCATAGCTTTTATATGCAACACATTTGCGAATTCGTATATCTTGGCATATAACGCATTTTCGGATCTATATCTCTTGACACACAACGTATTTCCGAATCCATATGTATTGTTCTACTTATCCAATTTTATTTAGAGCAAAAATTGTTCGATTTGTTATTAGAATATCCTTTAGAATATTTGCTATCATAGAAAGATATTGATGCTGTGAAATTCTAAAGCTAAATTTTGTCCATTGTTGAAAACACTTATTGCTGTGCACGAGTGTTTCATGTGATGATTTTAATAAGGCATCACACATAGCTTCTGCCACGTGCCTTCCATGCAGTATATCTTTATTTAATGAAGTGAATCTATTTTCTCGATTGATAAATAAACAAATATATTACTGTATCTATTTATTTACATCAGAAAATTGTTTCTTAAAGCCGAAACTGATGAGTGTAGGAAGGGTTAAAACGTTAGCTGGAGATGATCAATTATAATAAGTCTCCATACCGTATATTTTCGGACTAGAACTAATGTCTCGAGTTGAATAAATGTTTTGTAGTTTATTATCTTATAAAGTTTTTGAAAATAACAGTGTCTCAACCAACACAACAGATTAATAGACATTATAGGATTTTAAGAATTCAACAGTAATACTCATCATCCAGACTCGTATTCGAAGGTTAAAGTTATATAACTTAAAACTTGTAACCATTAATCTCAGTAGCCGAGATTAATGTTAAATAACTTTGACTAGCTCTAGCTCAAACTTGTAACCATTAATCTCAGTAGCCGAGATTAATGTTAAATAACTTTGACTAGCTCTAGCTCAAACTTGTAACCATTAATCTCAGTAGCCGAGATTAATGTTAAATAACTTTGACTAGCTCTAGCTCA